TTATTATTATTATTATTATTATTATTATTATTATTATTATTATTATTATTATTATTAGGCATCCAGAGTTGTGACATACAGATAGTCCATGCTTTGTGATGCTTGAAGTTACAATGGGCTGAAAAAAATATCTTTATGACCAGCACTCCCATTTGTGACCATTGTAGTGGTGATCTGACTGAGATTTGGGCATTTCATAGCTGCTGGGCATTTATGACTGTGACAATTATCTCACAGTCACATCATTGCTATTTGCGTGCTTTAAAGCTGGCTTCTGACACACAGTGTTAATGGAGAAGCTGGCAATAAAATTGCAAGACCAGGTCACATGATGACATGTTTAATGACCACAGGTGGTTCATTTAATGATCACAGCAGAAATGATGTCATAAGTCCAGCACAGTGATGTGATTTTTTTTCTTAATGGTTGTGTCACTTAGCGATGGAGTTGATAGACCCGATTAAAATAATTAAGAAAGGACTACCTGTATATGATAGTCATAAAAATAAATGAATGCAATGCAATAATAAAATGTAAAGCAATTGCTACACCTAAACTCCACCATCATTTATATACCAAAATGTTTTCAGGATTAAAAGGAGATATTATAGGATTTTCAATGGACGAATCACCTAACATGGCTAGACTTGAACAAAATGTTACCATACATGTTGTTCACCTTTTGTAAATAAGACTTTTGCTAGCTTTAAAATTGGTAACAAGTAATTTTGTGTGTGTGTGTGTGTGTGTGTGTGCATGTGTGCATGTGTGCATGTATCCTTGTAGGTAGTAGCACACATACATACATAAACATGCTCAAAGATTGGTATCAGCTGTGAGAAATGGAGGTTATTGCTTTCCCTCTATTTTCTTGATGAAAATTATCCCACCCCTGAAGCTGTTTCTTTGCTCTACGGGGTAAAATATATAGGAACCAGTAGGACACCTGAAGGTTTTGCCTTGAGGGAGAAATAACAGTTTTTGGGATAGGATTATTTTAATTGTAAAAGCAGTATGGGAGAAAGGGTAATGCTGTCCTCCTGGGTGACAGTTCCAGTCTGAATTGGGGAAGGGGGCTGTGTCTGCTATTAACTTTTAGAAACACACACAGAGAAGTTTTCCCAGAGAAAGGAAGGTTATGTATTTTCTCACAGATGATTCCAGGCAAAAATCATGGGAGAACCAGAAGGAACAAAGTAGATTATAAGGGAGTGGGCTTTACTTTATAATCTTCTGAAAAAAAAAATTAAAACAAAACAAAACACATCATCTCTATTTTGTATTAATGGCCCGACAGTTAAACTCTCTAGGTATCTCCATGTATTGTCACTAACAATGGGAAAATATATTTAGGTGAAAATTATGGATTTGTCTTCTAGGTCCATTCATAATTCGTCTCAAATCATGTTGAGATAATAGGCAAGGTAACATGTAGTTTTGCTATGAGGCAAGTCATTCAGATTTTCTGTTATTTGTTTCTACTTGTTTTAATCTTCTGTAAGCCTCTGAGAGATATTGGTAAGTGGGTAGCCCTAGAAATTGAATGAGGAAACAGCAACAAGAACACACAGTTAAGGATTATAGTGCTTCTGAAACAAAAAGCAAAGCTATCTACTTTAATCTAAAAGAAAAAGACCAACAGGGAGTAACTTTATTTTATTGAGGTAATAAAAAATGTAAACAAGAAGAAAGTTAGCTTCTGGATTCTAGAGAATTACAGAGTTCCTCTTCAAGTACCTCAACTTGGCAAAGGGCAGGGAATGAGGGTGGAGTAAATCTTTATATATTGCTAAAGATTCATAGGATCACAGATTAAGCATAGCAGTGAATGCAGTCCATAAATTAATTGTCAAATTGCACTGGGTTGAACAGCAATGTTGAACATGAATCAAGTATGAAAAAGCAAGGACTTCAGTCTGGCAACCAAATGCAGATTAGTCCTACTATTATTTTTCATATAGCTACCTACAATTGCAAAAGTTGGACCATGAAAAAACTAGGCAGGAGAAAAATCAACTTGTTAGAGCTGCAGTTTTGAAGAAGGCTCCTGAGCATTCCTTGGACAGCAAAGGAGACAAGCAAACAAGTAGTGAAGCATATAAAACCAGACATATCACAAAAAGGCAAAAATCACAAAATTCTACCTTACTTAGTTTGGCCATGTCACACATCAAATTGTACTTGGAATGCTCAGCGGTAAAAAGAAGCGAGGCCACCAAAAACTAGAATGGCTACACCCCATCAAAGCCAATACCAGCCAGAGCATAAAACAACTGAAAGGAGCCATACAAGACTGGAAAATGTGCAGAGAACTGGTCCATAGAATTACAGAGAATTAGGCAAGATTGTGCAGATAGTATCAGCAGTTTAGACTTACCATCAGTTTCTAAAAGGGGATTTCAAATTGATTTAATTAGTCTTTGCTAGGGTTGCTCTCAGATTACTCTTAAAAGTTAGTGACAAAGATGGAAGAGCTGACCCACAGTTTTCAACAAATAAAGCCAATTTCTCAGATCTATACAAGCTTAAATAAAATGCAGAGATTTTTTTTTTACTTAGATAGATATAAATGGAAACACAGCACTATATATATTTGTGGTGTTCTAAATAAAAAAGTCGATTAAAGTCAAATTACTAAGTGACCAACCTTGTAGAAAAAACACACAAGAATGTTTCCCCCCTTGTTAATTACTTAATGAAAATAGTCTAATTTAATTTACTGCTATTTATCTTGCCAGTGTTGCCAGAATAGAAGAGTGGTATTTAGTTTTCATAGCAAAACATTTATCTTCAGCTTTGGTTTGAAAATATGGAACCATATTAACAAATCTTAGCAAAGGTGTTGCACCTCTCTTTTCATTAAAAGATTTTTCTACATAGTAATCACAGAACTAAGCTGATGTACTGTACTTTTATAGGAATAGCTGTTAACTGCCGCCAGTGCAAATAGATTAGGCCTTTAACATCTAAGTTCACATTAGCAATCATTAAGCCAAGTAGAATTTTAGCACCAGACGTTTCTCATTACCTTAGCCGCACCAGTTTTCAAGGAAGTCAGTAATTAGGAACAAGCAATTATTAAAAAAGAAGAGTTGGGTAAAGGCTTAACGGATGTTTGCTTCGGTTATCTGCAATCTGAAGTGGCCTAGATAGGTTGTGTAGACATGTGTTACTCTGTAGTTTCTTCAGGGTAAATACAGGTGTCCTGGATATTCTGGTCCCACTTGAGGTTATAAGTTGAAGACTACCTGTATTTACCCAAATACTATTTTTAAAGATGTCTCAACTGAGGTTTATATAATTCTTGCTTCCTTGACCTTGCTCCTCTGTGTGGAACTTGACGCAGGCCAATAGTACTACTGTACCTTTTGTGCTGTGATCTGAAAAGTAAAGGTGAAACCCCCTTCCAATGATTGCATTTCCTAGGGACCCCATGGACATATCTTTGCTTGGCAATAGTTCAAACATGGCTTCCCACCGCATTTTTTCCAGGCCAGCTTTTCATTTCTAAGTCTAACCTGAAATCCTTGTATTTGCTGATGGTCCTTTACGCAAGAACAACAAGGACTGACTATACATAACTTTTTGAGATCAGTCAAAGTCAGCTTTGTACTGCCACCTAGCCGGGTAATAAGGCCAAATAATCTCGTCAACGAAGGAAAAACAAAAATACAATTAAAATCAGTCAATAAAAGACAATTCCAGAATTAGGCCACTAATTCCATTGCAGAATCCTTAGGTTTATAATGGCTGCATCTCCCAAGAGAGGAATACTGAATACACATTTCTTTAGGGGATGAAGAATAAAAATGT